TCAGATGAAGTTTTTGGAAAAATTGTCCATAAAAGAAACTTCAATGCGACGATCAAACTTGGGAGAGGGGATATAGGTGTGTGGACAGATCTCACCTTGAAGATCATTTTGGTTCATTTTATAGAAACATATTATGGACACCATGAAAGAAAGACGTGTTGCTACTGTGATTATTCACTAGTACATCTAGGGTCAATTGAACAAGTTTTGAGAACTTTCTAAGTTTTCTAAGAGGTAATAAAATAATTAATTACTTGTATTTTACCTGTTGTGTTACCTGTTTGTACCTGCATTCTAACAGTTGTAGTAGATATGCATATTTTATTGAATTAGTCATAAAATTAGATTTTTAACCTTGATTTTGACACCTAATCCAGCCAGATATCTTTAACATTGGCAGAGTTATGTTGTTTCAAAGTCCACAAGTTATTTTGCTTTACAACTCCAAAGTTACTTAGTGATGAGGACTCTATGCCTACAAAGTTACTTAGTGACGAAAGGGTTAAAGAACAAAGTTCACAAATTACAAAAATATTCCTTTTAGTAGCAACATTCTGAAACATTAAAAAAAGATTTTTAGTAAATAAAGTTTTTAATATGCAACGAAATATAGAAATACACTGCATGACTACATCTGTATTTTTTGTTGCAATATACATGAGCAGATTAATAATGGAGAAGCTTATTTTCTAGTGTTGCAGTAGGAATATAAAATATGCATCAGTTGATTCATTACACACAAATAATAAAATTCTCCAAATTTTCTCTTTACTATTAAATGCATCTTTTATTAAGTTTCAACACAATCAATGAATCTCTACCTGCCCTACACATTATCTTTCAAAAGTTTGTACCCATTTCCAGTTTCTTAAATGATGCAGTTTGTCATCACAACTACATGTATCGGCTACTCTTTGTTCGATTACAGACTTAGATCTTAAGTTGCTTACACAAGGTACAAAACTAATAACATCCACTTAGCACAGCATATTCAGAGATATTCACAGCGGTCAGCATTTCTTTTTTGCACGGGTGGCAGCAGATGGGTATACTGACAATTTCTATTGAAAGCACTCACATTTTTTAATGTTAGGCGACGGCAACCAGTTCTGATAACTGTTAAGTCTCAAAAAAATTCTTTTCAAACATTTGTAGCTGAATAATACCTTTCTCATTCCTTTCCTAATAAATTTTGTCCCTTTAATAATTTATACTACCACTAAAAAATGTTAATACTGGCAAAACCTATGAAATATGTCAAAATTCTCAGGTAGTGAGGAGGTGCGAACAGAAATGTCACCTTGTTGCTGATGAAAAACCATTGGATGCCAACAGAAAAAAAAGGAACTAAGCAAAATAAAACTTTAAATAAAACCCAGTGAAAATAAATTATATAACTCTAACAATAGCAACTATCTGTGTTATATACTAAATCCATGGTAAGATAATCATATTTGCTCTCTTGCCAACTCAGTGCCATTTACCTTTATACATGGTATGTCGTGTAAGAACCCTGCTGACACAAAACTACTTTACAACTTAGCAGTTTCACAAATTATAAATTTTAAAATGAAGGAAGCAAAATCTTTTCCTATATGCAAGTAAAAGGTTAAGTTACAAGCCAACAAACAAAATCTTTTTCTAATGCAAAAGAATGTGTGTAATACCATGACAATACTTTTCTTCAATTTGTACAATACCTTGACAGCTGTCAGGGCAAACATGATCTTGATGCGTCCATCGATGTTTGTATTTAACACACGAAGAATGTGCTGGAACTTGTCTGGTATTACAAGCGCCTGTAATGAGAAACAAACACTTGTAATCAAGGAGGTCTTGCACTATTCATAACAATGATCATGAAACAATGCAAGTCTGATGGATTAGCGGCAGAATTACAACCAACTTAAGAATAAAATCACAATCTGCAGTCACATGAAAACTATCCTTCCAGATCATTTGGCATACCTTGCTACTGTTGCAATTCAACAAATTCAAATTAAACGTAACATGAAAATATGTCCATTTGATCCTACAAGATTTTGATTGCACCTGGAGAAATTATATTAATTACACATCAATTTGTGGAAGTGTAAATATGGGCTGCCAAGTGAGATATTCCTAAAACTGACTCCTCCTTCTAATGTCATTGGAACATCCTATATGAGGCTATTATCTGGGCATTAAGACAGCATGGCTCATTTTTCCTGGCTTTATGAACGTAATGGTGAAAATAAAGGCTAATTCGCCGGATTGGCTTCGTCCGAGAGTGATGCGTTGGTACATTACTGTTTTATGAATGGATATGTGTAGTTCTTCAGTCTATGTGCGATTTGCGATTCTGAAGGGATAAAAGACGCGTGAGAAAAGTCGAATCGAGCGGAGGGTTGGGGTCACGCTTGTATTGTGTATATTTATAGTACCGTTAAGGTGATTTCATGTCCGAAATTTTGTCGTGCTTTATTGATAAAACTGCAGACTCCTGTGTACGAATATACGTTATGTATCTTCAATTATCGATATTTATTGTTACATAGGTTGCAGGAGAAAGGAGAAGTGTACTCCTTTGAAATATATATATATATATATATATATATATATATATATATATATATATATATATATATATATATGCCCGGTAAACTAAAAGATATACCTTGTCACTATAATCGGTTTAAACAAACTATTCGGCAAAATTTTCGCTGAATACTTGTTAAAACCAAATCCCATTATCTACCTGCAACCTGTACTGAAAACAAACTTATTTTCAACAACAAAGGCAAAGTTTTCTTGGTTGTAACGCCGGATAGAATACGACACCAATTAAGAACCAGTGTTAATATGAAGTCCACACATTAAATATACATCTTTTGTGGTATACTTTGTTAGGCGATTTTTCAGGTGCCTAAATATGTACTTATTAATGTCTTCTAATTCTTTAATAACTAGATGCAAATGGATATTGCCATGCTAATAGAATAAAATATAGTGTACCATGATGGCTGTCAAGAAGGAAAAGGAAGTGAAGTAGTCGGAATCCCCTCTTCTCTTTTTTCATTCGACTTACGATAACATCCGAAGAGTTTGCTAAAAATAAACATGTCTGCCGGAACAGAATTAGAGGTAGAGACGATAATATTTTACTTGAAACCTTGAGTAGGACACATAAGAATAACCAAATTGTATTTTCGTTTATAATTAAAATTAAAATATAAACGAAAAAAGTTTGATTTAAAATGATGAATACAAACATTAATAAATACATTCTTAATCGACTGTTTCAAAATTTCGAGGTTTCCACATCGGCTTCTTCAACATTGTTGATAGTTATATTGTATTATTTTAAAATCTTAGTGAAGTGAATTGTATTTTTATTTATTTATTTTTTTTGAGATTTTTTTTAAAGATCTACTATACTGTGGAAATTAGCCAGCATGTTGTATCGGTCTTCAATTACGATTTACAGTCAAAACGTACCAAAAACGGAAATTGTACCCAAGTCAACAAGGGTCCTTACAATGAAACTTTTGAGCATAACCTGTTATATTGTTACAGGTTAGGCTCAAACTTTAATTTATAACAAACCCCTGTGTCCAAGTCAAGACGTATTTATGAATGCCTTTACGTACTAAGTTAAAAACGTACACATAAAGTCATAATGTTATACTAAAATGTAGCTGATTTATGCGTTTTATTATAAACTATTATATTTTAAAATACGTTTTATTTTTCACTTACCTAATTAATGAATTCAAAGAATATTATCATAGGCATTAAGTATACCATGATAACTTGGGCTAATTCTGCATGCTGATTTTTGCAGCTGATTAGCTTCAGTCATCAAAGATAATTTTCTAAGCCACATTCTGTTAAATACTAGTGAATTTTAGGAGTAATCAGAATTTACAAATCCACTTGCCCATCTCCTTGGACCAGATCAAATTTGGTTTGGGCAAGCTCAGACACACTATCCCTGTGGCTAGTCAACAAAATAGAGAGAGGGATACAAGAAATTTTATTGAATGTCAGTGATCAGAGTAAAATACATTAATACTTATGGTGTGAATTAATTTACCAACAATGGGTTGTGTTCGATTCCTAATGTTTTATAGCATATTCTTTTGTATACCTGACATCAGTTTCTTTTATGTATTATATGTGTTATTACCATCATGTAGTCATTGTCATTGTCAATTTATTTATTATATGTGTTATTACCATCATGTAGTCATTGTCATTGTCAGTTTATGTATTATATGTGTTATTACCATCATGTAGTCATTGTCATTGTCAGTTTATGTATTATATGTGTTATTACCATCATGTAGTCATTGTCATTGTCAATTTATTTATTATATGTGTTATTGCCATCATGTAGTCATTGTCAATGTCAGTTTCATGCAGAACTAATATCGTAAAACAAATTTTGACAAGTAACTAATAAATTTTTACTGATCAGTTACATTGTAATTGTAATGCTTGTATGTATAATGTTCATGGTGGTCAGATTTTTGACAGGCAGCTGGTGTGAGTTAAATGAAATGATTATATGAAACAGATTTAGTCCTTAACAGCTAGTGAACTGGAAACATATGCCGACACACCTGTGAAATCCCACCTAAAAGCATTTTAATTTGAGACTCTTTCTCTTCTTTCCAGCATATTTTGACCATAAGTGGTTAATTGTCACAAAAACCAAATGAGATGAATCATGATAGAGGAACAAATATCCAGTTTGCCAAACTTTTATTTTTTTTTTCAAAGCAACTGGAACAGACACATGCCTCATTTGAATTTTATAAGATAGATCTAAATAACAAGTAATATTTCTCATTTTCCCTACCTGTCTGTCATTCTGTCTGTCAGTGTCATCTAATGTAATCTAATCTAATCAAATCTAATGTAATCTTATTTATTTTTCACCCATTTTGACCAAATAGAGTATGATGTTAAGCTATTTGAAATTATTTCAAGGGTTCAGTTTTCAGAATCATGTCTTGGACTGCTCCAGTGGCCTAGTGGTTAAAGCATCTGTCTTAGATGTTGGAGGTCATGGGTTCGATCCCCAGCCAAGTCATACCAAAAGACTTACAAAAATAGTGCTAACAGCAGCCTCGCTTGGCGCTCAGTGTTAGGACTGGTTGGCCTGATGTCAGGATAATATGACTGAGTGAGATGAACATCATGTTACATGTCTGCGGCATGATCCCTCAGTGCTAGACATCACTATAAACTGTCACACTGCAAACATTGTAGCAATATGGGTGAAAATGTTTTAAAACTACCTTAAAAATCCAAATCACGCACACACACACACACACACACACACACATACACACACACACACACACTCAGTATCAAAGGAAATTTTAAATGCTGTGATGTTACATTATTCAAGGTATTTGTTTCTACAATGATCAAAGTCAAGTAATCTAAATCCAGCCATGACTATTCACAATTTATGGAGACATAGTATCTACTTATACAGAGAACTTACAACATACACAACTAAAACAGTAAATCACAGAACCTCAGTGTATTGGGAGTTACTTTAATTTGGGTGCATTTTGGAATAGGTATGTTTTGACTTAGCTACATTTTGACCTGCTTCCTATCCCCAACCCACCCACAAATACATACAACAGGGACTTAGCTTTAATGGATGGTATTCATGCTGGGGTGATGGGTAGTGTATATTTATGCTGGCATGAGGGGTAGTGTATATTCATGCTGGCGTCAGGGGTAGTGTATATTCATGCTGGCATGAGGGGTAGTGTATATTCATGCTAGGGTGAGGGGTAATGTATATATTATGAAATGAGACAGGAAGAGACTTGCCAGGACAATGTTCCTAATCCCTGTTGCATTCAAGCATCATTACTAAGTAGTTTTAAAACTCTTGTCAAGGCATTTCCTGCCACTGTCAAAATATCTATCTTGGGATGGGATAGATCACAGCAAAAGAAGACTAACATTATATTTTTGCTGCCACTCTCTAACATTGGAATCCTGATTACAGAATTTATTTCAAGCATATTCACTGTGAATGGTGTACCATCTATGTTTCAGCAAACTGGTCCCGCAGCTCCATCATGTGCTAATTTCATTGGTCATTTACAGAAAGCATTTTGTTAGGAAAGTCGGAAAATTTGAACAGTTCTGTTAAAAATTTAGTTGTATTTTAGTTCATATGAGGTATTGACAGAACTTTCATGTAATTTATTTATTGGTACATTTTGACTTAGAGCCTATGTAGTTTATAATTTTTGTGACATATCAACACATTAATATCTAATTTGATGTGAATTTGTTTGGTTCAAATAAGTCTTTGAAATCCATTGGTAGTATTCTCGTTATTGATTGGCTGCAAATGTGGAACATTTCCTTGCCCCACCTTTTGGAACCACATTATTTTACTTTACTATTAACAAATGGTGGTCATCTTTTCAATTGGCATTTGATTTGACATTAAAGAAAAAGCAAAAACCTTTCACAAAAATGCAGAGTGTGGTTAAATGTGTAAATCTGCTTAACATTTTCCTAATTGAACTGAAAATGTGGGAGAATCAAGAAATTCTTTCATTCTGTTCAGGCACCATAGTGTAATACGTGCAATCCCCATTATGTTGTTGTTGAAACATAGTATGGATCTTTCTCCCCACCCCCAGGACAAACATGATATGGATCTTTCTCCCCACCCCCAGAACAAACATGGTATGGTTCTTTCTCCCCACCCCCAAGACAAACATGGTTTAAATGTCATCTTAGGTCCCTATGAAATAGTCAATCAATATCTCACTTGTGTCCTAGTCAATTGTACATTATGCCTTGAGAAGAAGGTATCATATTTCTTGTGCTGGAATGAGTAGTATAATATACCTTGAAGAAGAATGGTATATTTTTTGTGCCGTAAAGAGTTAAATCTTCATTACATCTGTAAAGTTATAGATGTGCCTTGACAGCTAGCTATAGAAGTTTAGCTACCCTTTGAATAATAATTTATTCCCTTGAGAACTATACAAGTGGTTTAGGACAAAAACATTCAGTGAAATTCATTCTAAATTGGAATATTACAGTACACATTATGGTTCAGTGGGAAATTAAGAATGTTTGTGTAAAGACTTTATCTGATGTCATCATCCTCCATCTTGGAAACAATGTGACATTCAAACAAGACTCAGAACTTTTTATTATTAGGACTCATTCATGTATATTTACAATTCTAGGATGTTTTTGACTTTTATTCACAAACCATAAGTCCTGTTTTATATTTTCAACTTTTTTTCCATGTTTTCTAGGGAAATAAAATTATCTTTGTTAAAATGTATAAAGCTTGTTTTCTCCACTATTTTCTTCTGTTACTTTGAATGAGCCGATACATAACATATGGTACAGCATAGAGGATAATTAATGTGAAACATATTGCATTACACATAACATATGGTACAGGATAGAGGATAATTAATGTGAAACATATTGCATTATACATAACATATGGTACAGGATAGAGGATAATGTGAAACATTGCATTACACCTAACATATGGTACTGGATAGAGGATAAATAATGTGAAACATATTGCATTACACATAGACTGAAATTGTTAAAGCTACGTTAAAAAAAATTCATAAACACTACATTGTACATAGCATATGGTACAGGATAGAGTATAATGAATGTGAAACATTGCATTATAGATTTTAAAATCTGTAGTATGTGCACAATAAGAGTGGTCAGAAAATAAATGTTTCACATAACGGGTTTCTTTTCAAACTTTTTATGTGAACTGTGATTGAGAAACATCCAAAATATGGGCAAGTCTGAGTTCTGTCAGATAAACTCCTATTTAATTGACAGTTTTTGGCAGTAGGAAGGATGAACGTTTTGATTGGCTGTTAGCAAACTCTATATAACATGTTACATTCCTAACAAAAAGCAAAGTTGTCTATTAGTTTTCCATATTACAGAGTTTCAGTAGAAAATGCTGCCAAATGAGTGAGCTTGATTTTTATTCAGTTCCTGCTCATATAGTACTTTAGACTTCATATCAGCCATTTTTGACTGTTGCAATGGAATGGATGAAATATGAAGTGCTGTTTAAACATTTGTCAGTGGACAGTGGATGCTTTTTTGAGATTTTGGGCTTTTAGAACAATAGATTTGAAGATAAAAATTAAATTAAAGAAATGAGCGCTGAAGAAGAATTTGTTTTACTCTTAAAATACTCCATAACTGCTTAATTTGGAATTTACCAGTTACATACTGGTAGGAACCACACCACTACACACTCCTAATTTTAGTAGAAAAAAAATGATAAAAAATACACATACAAAATTCAAACTTTGATCTCATGTAACTTTACACCTAAATGTTTACACAGCATATGCAACGGTCTGCTTTATCAGCATGTAATTACTGAAAATCTTTTCCAATCATTGAACATTTTACTGAAATGACCTCCAATGGGGAATAATTGAGTGTTAAGAGTTAATTTGGTCCTGTGTGTTAATTTGTATATTAAGAGTCCTATTACAATATATTCGGTTTGCATAACTCACCTGCATCCTTCAGACCTGAACAAATTATAGGTGCTAGCCTTTGCATAGTTTGCAGAACACACATGGTACTGTTCCATTGTTAAGGTCAGATTATGAGAGGGGGGGTAGTGATGTTATCATATATTGTCATCACAATGCATCTTTTGTGGATTATGAATGAAAAGTTTATTATTATTAATGAATAATTGCTATATCATGTAAGATTTGAAATTCCCCCTACCCTTGTAAATCAGTACAGATCACTAATACAGATTTACATGTTTGGCATAATCAGCTATAGCCTCAGAATTAGTACACTTTAAACTGGTACATGTTTAGCATAAATCAGCTGTACCCTCAGAATTGTGTGTGTCTGTGTGTTTGTGTGTGTGTATATTTTTAACCATTTTTCAGTCATATCGCTACGATGTCTGCCGTATGGCAGCTTATAGTGATGTTTAGGCACTGGGGCATTATGCCAGAGACATGTAGCATGATCTCCCACCCAGTCATATTATCCTGACACCAGGCAGACCAGTCCTAACACTAACCTCTTAATGCTGAGTGCAAAGAGAGGCAGCTGTTAGTACCATTTTTTTAGTCTTTGGTATGACTTGGCAGGGGACCAAACCCACGACCTTCCCGCATCTGAGTCGGATGCTCTAGCCACTAGGCTACAGGAGTGGTCATACCCTCAGAACTCAGAATTAGTACACTTACATTTATACCGCTTGGTATAATCAGCTGTACCTTCATAATTATTTCATGTGAATTGATACATGTTTGGAATACTCAGCTGTACCCTCGGATTTGGTACACCTAAACTGATACATGATTAGTATAAATAAGCTGTACCCACAGAGTTAGTACACTTGAATTAATACAACTTTGTCAGATAGAAATAGCAAGTCTACAGACTATGTTCAGTTAGAAAAAAACAGTTAAATTTTCTGTGAGTAATAACCTTCATAATACCTTCATTTGCTGAATGTAATTGATCTAATATACATGTAATGTAAAGTGTAATTGATCTGATATACATGTAGTGTAAGATGTAACTGATTTAATTGCATGTAATAGAAAGTGTAATTGATCTGATATACATGTAATATAAAGTATAATTTGATCTGATATACATGTAACATAAAATGCAATTGATCTGATATCCATGTAATATAAAGTGAATTGTATACATATAATAAGTGTAATTGATCTGATGTACATGTATGTGTAAGATAAAGTTTAATCTGATATAAATGTTGTATATAATGTAATTAATCGGATATACATGTATATCATGTAATTAATTGGATGTACATGTATATAATGTAATTTATCGGATATACATGTATATCATGTAATTAATTGGATGTACATGTTGTATATAATGTAATTTATCAGATATACATGTTTTATAAAGTGCAGTTGATTTGATATACATTTAAAGATATTGTTATTATCATGAAAAGAGAAGAAACATAACATCAGTATACAACTTTTAGCTTCAGAGTAGCATCATTAATTGGTTGCACCTAACTTT